GTTTCCATTTAAGGATTGTTCAAATCATTCTAGATGGCCTGTTCAGCATTGATATTGTCTTCTATTTAATTTAATGCTGATAAATTAAAATAGCTACAAAAACTTGCTGGAGTGTAACTAAGGGAACAGGCAGCGAAGCACGAAGCTGAGCGGCGAGGCACGAGGCAAAGCGGCGAGGCAAAGCGGCGAGGCAAAGCGGCGAGGCAAAGCGGCGAGGCAAAGCGGCGAGGCAAAGCGGCGAGGCACGTCCAAAACCCACGAGGCACGTCCAAAACCCGCAAGGCAGCTGTAGGAATGGTGAGGCACGTCCAAAAACTCGCAAGGCAGCTGTAAGAATGGCGAGACACGTCCAAAAACCCGCGAGGCAGCTAGCTGTATAAATGGCAAGGCACATGCAAAAACCTGCCCGGCGGCCAAGGGCGTCAATGTAGGGGGGGGGGGGGACAGGACCCCCAACTTTTAATGCCTTTACTATTTTCACATATCTGGCAATGATTGTAATGTAATATCACTTGGGTTGTGTAATGTACAGCAACTGTAAGGGCATTGTAGACCTTGGGAGTGTGGATAGGAATTGCTGCAATGTCCACATATTCAATTGGAGTATATATATAACATCAAACATCCTTTGCTTGGATAACTTACAGTTTTCATGATATTTCTTTTACAATTTCTAAAGCTGTGACTGTGTGAAACCTATGATCTATATAATTTAAAAGACATTTTATAAATGAGTCAGTTGCCGTGGGGGCAGGAATTTGTCATAATTTCTTTGGCCCAGGGGCAGGGCATTGCCATGCTTTTCCTGCCTGTGCCTGGGGAATTGTCAACTTAAAGAAAAAAGTGCAAATGCCCCAGGAGGGATGGGCAATCGTATAGAATTGACTGATGCATTACACTAAACATTGCACGAAAAGAAACTTCCCCCCAATTATTATCATGATAAGTTCTAAGTAAATGTTTACCTGATAATCATACCTATATAACACTTAAGTTAGATGTTCAGTATGGTACTCATCAACACCATGAGGAGACAATGCCTTAAGGTGATCAAGAAGCATGGTGGTTACGATTTGAAAATTTTGCATGACACACTACGTACTACTCATATATAGGGGTGTGATCTCAATCGGCAGTTGGGATACAATATTTTCCAAAACAAACACTTGCTAACTGTTCAAGGCCTGCTAGAAACCACTAGAAACTGTCAAAACAACTATTATTGTTATTGGATGAAGTTTCTGTATTAAACAGAGTCAAACTGAGATCCCCTCTTTTAATTCCCACTGCATGTCTCATTTACTGGCCCCTTAGTTTAGGATTTCTATAAAATTGTTTTGTTTTGCAAGGGATTTTTAAAATTTTCAGAGATTTTATAGAGGATTTGCAGATTATTATAATTTGAGAAATATCCAATATGTCACTAACAGTACACTGATCGGTCAGAGAACTCGACAAGATATATCACTCGGGAAATTATTGTACACAAAATACCTTAAACCTCCGACTATGAGCCCCCCCCCCCCCGAATATAAGCCCCCCATGTATAAGCCCACCACATGTACTAACGCTCACATCATTCCAAATATAAGACCCCCCAAATATAAGCCCACCCGAATATAAGGCCCCCGAATATAAGTCCCCAATTAATGTAAGCCCAGTAATAGCTGCATAATACAGGTTTATTTCCCTGTTTATGACTGACTTGTTTATGTTTGACTTGTTTATTACTAACACAAAAGATCGTCCATGTATAAGCCCACCCGTATATAAGCCCACCCTTGTATAAGCCCATCAAAAATCGCTTATGAAAGTATATAAGGCCAGGGTTTATAGTCGGAGGTTTACGGTAATAAACATCAGAAAATCTTGCAAAAAATATCCTACCTTAAATCCCAAAATCTTTGCTAATTAATTAAAATAATCCCATATAATAATACGGTAAATACTAAAAATCCAATGGGGCTGACCTGATAAGTGAGAATGAGGAAGGCTTGTTGGACTACATTTAGCAGTGTTCCAGGTGGGTTCTGGGTGGTTTCCAGGGGTTCTGAGTTTTACAAACACCCTTTAATTTAAATACTGTAAGGGACTAAGTCTATATTCGAGGTTTTTGAGTACTAGGTTTGGTGAGCATTAATGCTGTTTATTGTCAACAATGTTAAACTGTTACTAACTAGACATTTTAATAATGGCAATCCCAAAAGGCTGTCCCACAAAGGTAGTCGCATGCAATGAATTGCACTGCTAATGGGCTTGTTAGGTGTATTGTTGTGGCATGCAATACTTTGTTGTGTTCTGAATGCACTGGAATTAAAAGAATCCTCAGAGTATTTTAAAAGCCAAGGCTAGCATATTACTGTTGAAATTTGAAAAATCATTGCACAGGCACTAGAAGAGACATACAGCCATGTGCATGTTATTGTGTCACAAATATAAAATAGTTTCTACAGTTAGACTATTGTTTTGGCCTTTTAGAAAGTCATTTATGCCTCATAATTTTTATTGAAATATATAATACATAGTGCACTAAGTGTAGGGTCTTTATAAATATATTTCGTATTGCAGCTTAATTGAGGCATGTAATAATTTGTACTTCTTGATAAGCTGAGTATGTGCCAAGGAGTGTGTGCAATTACACGCCATTCACACAAAGACCTGCACAATGTTTCTAATATGAAAATGAGACCCCTTTAACCCATTTCTGGCAGCAATGATAGCTGCTAGAACATAAGCTGCATCTCATCTTCAAACTTGGCACCTGTTGCCCCTGTGGTACAAATAAGCAAGTCCCTGTGTTTAGCTTAATTTATTTGATAGTCTACAGTTATGCCTCAGACATTAGCAAAACTTAACAGCACTTCTCTTTCTCACCTTACTTAATACTAATCTCATAATATATTCTGTGTTCAGTATTATTATGTTATTTATGTATGTCTTTGTCAATTTTCACCTAGCTCCCATATTATTATATTCTGCAATGCGTTACATTTTTTGTTCATTGCACTTTGTTTTGAGTCATTAATTATTTTTGATGGTAGCACAAGCAGGCCCTTCTGATTGGTGTATTTTTATCACATGTTATTTAAACATTGTCCTTCAATTTCGGGACTGTTCCAAAGGTTTAAATACAATTTTAGACATAACTGAAAGCAGCTCAGGTTAAAAATGGAACTGCAGGCCCTGCAATTCTGGACTAGTGCTCTGACCACTAAGATACAGATACAGAGTCCAGTGCCAAATTATTCTTGTATCAGTGAGTAACCTACCCTGGTTCCAGAGGCACTTAAAAGAACAGTGAGGTAAAATAACGACAAGGAGAATGAGTCTCTGGTTAAATCGGCTGCGAATCTCACTTCCATACTTCATTAGGTTCAGAATCTGAACCTCGCATGTGATTGGCTGTTTGTGAAAAAAAAAACATGTCAAAAACTGGTTTGGAAAATATAAAAAATTTATACTCATTAAAATCATTGCTAAATTAGCAGGCTACAATTAGTTCAACGTTCGTTTAATTTACAATTTTTCACATGTTTTTACAAACAGCCAATTACATGCGAGGTTCAGATTCTGAACCTAACCCATTGAGTCTCATTATGCCCTGATGCGCCCTACATTATTTTACTCTGCCTAATGCCATATTGTTTTACTCTCAACTGTCTAACGCCATATTATTTTACTCTCTCTATAACGCCAGACGATTTTACTTCTCATGGGAGAGAGCACTGCCACTTAATGGGTTAACCGGCCTATCTGCCCATGTGTCTAGTCAACTCATTGGGTCGATTGCACCCTACTTTATTATTTTACTCTGTCTAATGTACGCCAGACAATTTTGCTTATAAAGGGAAGAGCACTGCATGGTGCTTAAATTAGGCTAATCGTGTAATGGAAGTGAGATTCGCAAACCGTTTGACCAGAGGCTCTTTCACTTTGTTTTTATTTCACCTCACCATTATTTTCCCTTGCCATTCTTCAAGAGCTTCTGGAACCAGGGTATGAGCAACCCAAGGTTTAGCCTGCTCACAGACGTTGTAGTTCTTACGCCAAGCGACGAAATACTACCGTCTGCTTACCCGAGCTGCATATTCAATTCCCTTTGTTTTAGGAGCCAATCATCTGGCAGTGTTCAAAAAAGTTAGAGCCAATTGGAAGCCGCCTTAGTGAGAGATTAGCTACTGGGGAGCATAGACGGATTTTCATATTTTTTACTGGGGTGGTGCCAGAATTTTTAGGGGGTGAGCCGTGAGTAGGTGACTGAAGAAACACAAAGTGTCACCAAACCCCAGTAAGGTCTATTTTCTAGGGGTAGAGCACTAGAGCCGCAAGGGGGAGTCTAGAGAGCAGAAAACAAAGTATCCCAGGAAAAATTTGAAAAAAATCATGATTTGTAGCCAATAGGCCAATACACAATATGCTTTTACTTTTATAAGTCATTGACATTGTGTCGTTTGAATCCGAGTATAATTTATAATGCAACTCCGATGTAAATCATATTTGAGGCGTAAAGATTTAATCTAGGCAAGTCTATTTCCGAAAGAATTAAAAACTAAAAATAATGTCCGTAAAAATTCCAAACGTCCCTTGCGAGCAAGCTATTTGCATGAAAGGCACTGCAAACTCTATTCTTCAGGGGAGATAATAGGGGAGCGATTAGTTTCAAGCGAGGAGCGATTAGTTTCAGAGTATTGCACTGTCTTTTACTATTTGAGTGTACTCCTACGTTTATTTTGTATCATCAACACTCTTCACGTTGGAGTGGACTATTTAATTATTTTTTTATTATGCCGAATATTGGGGGTTGGAAAATTTTTGGAGGGGTGGACATTTGTTTGAGGGGGTATTGTGGTGGTGTAGCACCCCTGCACCCCCACACACACAAAATCCGTGTCTATGCTGGGGAAAGCCCTTACACAGCATTGGAATATATTGTTTGGGTTGAAACTTGAAATTTGTTTACTTGCGTGGATATATTTTGGAAACTATAACGTTGAACTTCACGATGTTTACGTAGAATAATATTGTGATCATCTTCTCGCATGTACAGCAAACAATCGGTGTATATAAAGTGCTAAAGCAACGCAGTAGGCGAAATTTAAATTTTGTTAACAATGACAAACAATCAATCGGGAAACTCGAGTATGTCAGGATATGTCCAAATGTTGCTCTTGATACTTCCTATATGCCATGACTTCAACGAAAACTTCTAAAAGATTAAGCGCTCATTGTCATGTAGAAAAGTATGGCCAAGTTAGAGTATAAACGTTTCGAAATTTGGGCGAATTGGAAAATTCATCACGGCGCAATTTTAATACAATTTTCTCGAGTTTGTGTTGTGTTTACAGTTTACATTCGGAAGTGGTTGCTCAAACAGCAAATTAGTTTACTTTGAAGCTAATATTTCGCTTTCTAAGCCACAGTATTATGTAAATTTTTCTGTCTTCCGAGTTCTGTTGTCTTATAAACTCAAGATAAACCGTTAAAATTTCAGCGAAATATAATAATTCGGCATTTGATGCTGTCTGGCTAAGATTCATACAGTATAGATATGCCGATCCTGTCCGCGTTTTAAATATAACCGAACATATTTAATATCCAAATCTGATCATTGATGGTACATTTTATTACCTGGACAAGTATCAGTATCTTTAAATTCAATTTATGTGCAATTTTGACCAAAGTTCAACCGACGACTGCTTTCAAAATATATATTTTAGTCTAGGACCTGTATATGAGTTTGTATGCATTTCATTTAGGACAGATAATCTCAACTGTTTTAGGGCAAGTTGACCATGACGGTCAACATGGTAACGCTGCCCGAACCCCAATCCAGGACGAAACGTCCGAAACTGACCACACCCAAAAACGACGCTTTCGCCATACTGCTATCTACCAAACCATAAAAGCTTTGGCTATTCTGAGGTGCTTACATGGTTCAGAGATGGTACTATTGGGGGTGGTCATTGGTAAGTGTGAAATGCCTAGCACTAATATTTCACATGAAAATGGCCATGCAATAATCATAGTTAAACGTCAATTTGTGGCTTGCAAATTCAGATAAACAGCAGTGGACTTACATTACCTTTTCCCTAAATCTTTTTGATAGAAACATAAATGGTACTTATTTAAATATATTATCATTGGTTTGGTGTAAAATAGTTAATATTTTCTGACCGAAATAATAATTTGAAATGTGCCTACCTCCTGCAAATGGACGTATTTGGCCAAGTTCTCCACTTTACTCCGCTGTTTATCGGCGATCTCGTCGATATCCTACAAAAAATGTAAATCATCTCAGGCATAATGGTATCAAGAACATTTTAAACAAGTTTCAACTTGGTTTCAAGTAGATCATACCTGTTTAACCATCGACAAGGTAAATCCACAACTTTGTCCAAATTCGGCGCCATTTTGTCATCCCATGTCGCTTGTTAACAATTCAGCCTTGTTACTCTTCCATCCAAGCCATTTCCATTCCACTAATAATAAATTTAACCCTTTATAACAGGAGGAAACTAAAAAATCTAAACAAAATATAAGAAATACGCCATTTTATCACCATGTAAAATTTTGCTCACGAGTCTTTCAAAACATTCCGTACAAATATCGCGTGACAAAATAACAGGGACGTGACAGGAGGGGGTGAATTATTTCACGAAGATAGAAGAAGGCTGCGTGAAATAGACTAAAAGTTAAATACAATCATACAAATGTTTGTTTTATTTCTTGTAGTGACAAATACATACATTTATTATTTATTAATATGAAAAAGTCATGCAAATTAAATGTTGATTGTTGGTTTTACCAATTTACCATACTGTATGGGCTTTCATTTTTCAAGTCTCTACCCCCCCTGCAAGTCCCTGTTGCTAAACCACGCGAGATTTGTATGGAATGTTTTGAAAGACTCGTGAGCGAAATTTTACAGGGTGATAAAATGGCGAATTTCTAATGTTTTGTTTAGATTTTTTAGTTTCCTCCTGTTATAAAGGGTTAAATTTATTATTAGTGGAATGGAAATGGCTTGGATGGAAGAGTAATAATGCTGAATTGTTAACAAGCGACATGGGATGACAAAATGGCGCCGAATTTGGACAAAGTTGTTGATTTACCTTGTCGATGGTTAAACAGGTATGATCTACTTGAAACCAAGTTGAAACTTGTTTAAAATGTTCTTGATGCCATTATGTCTGAGATGATTTACATTTTTTGTAGGATATCGACGAGATCGCCGATAAACAGCGGAGTAAAGTGTAGAACTTGGCCAAATACGTCCATTTGCAGGAGGTAGGCACATTTCAAATTATTATTTCGGTCAGAAAATATTAACTATTTTACACCAAACCAGTGATAATATATTTAAATAAGTACCATTTATGTTTCTATCAAAAAGATTTAGCGAAAA